GAACGTATAGAGGAGGAGCAGAAAGTCTGGGAAGACTCTGGGGGACAAAACAGCTCCCCTCGGCCAAGTCATGGGAGATCCAGAGGTCGTGGAGGTGGCCGCAGCTGAAGAGGAGGCCATGGATGTGGTCCCACCCGAAGAAGAAGGAGCCACGGAGGCGGACCAGCTGCAGGTGCAGCCGCTGGCCCATGGCCAAGGTCTTTCCCAAAAAGAGGCAGCGAGCCCCACCAGGAAGGCCGAGACCTCTGCTCCCCACCAGCCAGGACTCGAGATCCTCAGAGAAGCCCAAGGCGGCCCAGATGCCTCCTGAAGGTAACTTGGATGGAAGGGACAGAAGTGGGGGGGTTCTGTCTGAAGAAGAGAAGGCTAATGGGGAATTCCTGTCTTCAACTACCCGTTTTCAACTGTGCTCAAATAATCGTTGCCTTCAGCTACCTAAGGGTGGTTGAAGATGGAGCCAGAGCCAGACTCTCCATGGAGGTGCACAAGGGATAACGGATCAATAAAAGCAAACTACGCGAAAAAAACGTTCCCCTCAAAAACAAAAGGCCTCAGATTTGTCCCGAAGAAGCCGGAGTTCAGCACTGAACGTTTCACTTCTCCCGATGGGGCTGATTTGGCAGCGCTGTGAAAACATCCAACACTGGCGAGACCACAGCTGGAGCTCTGCGGGCTCCCCAGCACAGAAGAACGTGGCCACACTGGAGCAAATTCAGCGGACACCACCAAAACGGGTTAGGGTTGGTAACACAGGATGCCTGAGGAGGTGTTTGTGACCAGACGGAGAAAACGGTTCCCTGTCTTTTATCCACAAAAACCATTCCCTCCATGACCTTACCAAGAGGAGCAAACTACACCGAGTCCCGCCGGGGTCAAAGCCGACGTGGGTGACGGCCCCTGTTATCCCAGGACAACCCCCTCGTGTCCTAGACCTCCATCCCCAACCACGCAGACGCTCTCTGGAAGGCTCCAGGGTATCTTCTGCCGACGGCTAAGAGTTGGTTGCCTCACCTGGCTGCTGAAATAAGTTTTGGGTCAAAGAGCTGGTTTCAGAATCAGCGTTGAAGGAGCTGCTGCAGGCCACGGAGACCCCAGGGGAGCCTCGGCACAGCCACGGGGGATCGGCCGCATCCACGCAGAGGGCTGGCAGCACCGGGTTTCTCTGAAATTCCAGGAGCTGGGGACGGTTGGGCCAGGATCTGGCACCAACGGGTTGCCCATCCCCACAGCCCCGTGCCCTGTTGTTGAGGGGGTGGCTCTCAAGCACGGGTCCAGCCCCGTGGAGAAGAGGGATGGAGTTGCATTTCCAAAGTTATTCCTGCAGAAGTGAAAGCTGTAAACAAACCCGGAAAGCGCTGCCCCTCCACGAATTCCTCCCAAGCCAAAGCGTTTGAGCGTGCTCAGCGGAGCCGTTAAAAAAGACTGTAGCGAGCATCTTCCATTAACGTTACGACCGTGAAATATGACAATAAAATGATAGCCGTATGGTCGCAAATTTGCAGCCCGCCGAGTTGCTAGGGGTTTATCGTCACTCAAACGTGCAGAGAGCTGTAAAATGTTTACAGAAAGGGTCGTTTGCAGCTATAAAATCCTCTTTTCTCTCCTAAACAAGGCTGAGTGGAGCCATTTACAAACCCCTGAATGTTCATCGGGGGAGAGGGGAACATCTGTTCTCTCCAGGAGTTTTCAGTGATCTTCTCGAACAAATTAACTAAAATGGGTGCTTTCTAATTAAATTAGCACTCTATTGGAATGGTTTGCATTGGTGCGCTTGCTTACAATTAGCGTGGGGAGGCCAGTTAGGCTCCGGCGTAGGCTATTTAACTGGAAGGTGAAATATGGAAAAGCCCATTACCTGGAAACGGGTGTCGGGAGGGGTAGGGGAGCCCGGGCTCCCTCCGGCTCTGCCCTCTCAGATGGAGAACGCAACGAGGTGAAGGATGGGATGCCACCAAGCCCACCCTTCCCGCCATGGGACGCTTGGCTGGAAGCACTTTGCTCTCCCCATGCCGCACGGACGGGCCTTTTTTGGAGGACGCTCGGGATCAGCACCCTCAGAGGACTCCTCCGCCCCCCAAAATTACAAGGTCCCTCTTGCAGCTTGAAGACCCTCCCCGTGAGAGGACAGCAGCGGGCTCACGCGTGCAGACCACACCACTTCCTTCTCTTCTAGCTCAAGGCCAGAGGCTGCAGACCCCCACCGAGCCCCCACAAGCCGCTCGCGTTGCCCACGCCGGTCCTTAAAGGTCATCTCCAAACCCCCCACTCCATCCCTCCCGCGCACGGAGCCGGCGTTTTTTCCTCACCCCTCCTGCATTTACCAGTATTAAAAAGGGCATTTTCTCAAATTGTGAGCGTTTAACCAAGCCATCCAGATCACTCCGTAATAACCACCTGTCCTCCTCCTTATTTACGACCCCGCCAATTTGTGTGTCACCTTCAGGCTTTACGAGCAGAAACCAAATATTATCCTCGGTACGAAGGCTGCAGCGGGGAAGGCGCAGACATCCCCCCCCCCGGTCGCCACCGCAGACGCCACCCACTACCCAGAGCTACGCAAGGACTCATCCTGACCTGCCCAGCTCAGCACAGCACCCCAAGCTCACAAGCACCAGTCCTGGTGATCTGCCCACCGTGAAGCATTTGGTCCTTCAGCAGCATCAGCGGCCTCATCCTGCACCCTCTGGGGAATGACGGATTGGTAGCGGCCAGGGCTTCTTGCTCTCCCGGTTCCTCCGAGCCCCTTCGTTTGGGTGCTGAGATGAGATTTGAATTACCGAGCGCACCCCAGAGCCCAGCAGCCCCCAACAGCACCCTCGCACCCGGCTTCACCGCGCGCCGCCGCCGCCTCCGTTTGGCGTGGAAACTGCTTCATCATCAGACGATTTTTACAGCCATCTGCAATTCCTGCCTGGTTTTCCTTTCCTACGGATCCTCCAGCACCTCCTTTCCCGATGCCACGGGCTCCCCGGAGGGATGCGTGCCCCGACCCCCTACCCGCTACCTCCCCATAGCCTTCCTCTCGACAGCCTTGAACTGAAACAGCTCCTACTCATCCTCCCACCCAAAACGCCTGGAAATCATCCTCCCCTGAATGTGCCGACCAGAGTTTAAGAGTAAAAAAAAAAAAAGGTGCCTTGGCTGCCGGGATGACGCCTCTGCCCTCTCCATCGAGTTACTCCAGGCTGCCAAGTACAATCCGGAGCGTTTCAGCAGCTTTCTTGCCGGCGGATTAATTGCTCTGTCTTCATCCCAGAGACAAAAAACCCCGATTAAGCCGCTGCTTTTAGGAGCGCTTCCCTGGCCCCGCCGCCGAGATCAAAAGGGAGTTGAACCATGGCCAAGGAGAGGGAAGAAGGGAGGCACGCGGGGGGGGAAGAAATCCCTGGAAAGGGAAGCCGAGCGCTTCACCCCGCGTCGCAGAGAGGGGCTTTCCCACCCGTAAGGGTCCCTCGGTGCCTCCACCACGCCGCGGCTCGCCAGCGCGCGCGCGCTCGCCCGCGACTTCAGGAATACGTTACTAAATCCCGGGAATTTTCTTTCCGACAGCGTTAAGGGCATCTCAGCCCTCCCCGGCTGGAAGCGCTTTGTGGTTGAGCCAGGCAAAGCCTTGCGGATCCTCGGGACCCGCTTGCAGACGACGGAATACAAATGCTCCAGCCTGGTTTTCGGCGCCGAGTTCATCCCTTTCTCCCAGCAGGACCGTGCTCCGGCTGCACGCTCGGTCGGGGGGTGGCATGGGATTGAAGATGGGGAGGGATGCTCCAGCCCTTCGGTTCATACTGAGCCCCATCTCGTGCCAGCCGAGCTGGTGGGGGGGGATTTCATCATTACCGCCACGAAATATTTGGATTTCTGAGCCCTGATGCTGTCTCCCTTTCTGCGATGGTGCTCAGGAGACGCAGCTGCTGCACATCCCTCCGGCGAAGGATGGGAGATGAAGAGGAAAGAGTGAAACATCATCCAGTCAAAAACCTCCCACCCAGTGCTGGGCAGGACGAGCCACAATCTCTGCCTCCCCGTCTCCATCAGCTCTGCTCCCGCCGACGTATCCCCCGAGAGCCCCAAAGTCCTCTCCCTTCCCGCAGAGCTGCTGGTGATTAAGGGATTTTCCAGTGTAGGAGCTGAATTAGGAGAGGAGGAACGAAGGAAAATTTTGGAGAAGCAGAAACGCGGCTAACCTCCACCACCAGCCTCTTGGCAGACAAACAAAGACGTTTCTTCTCATGGATTCATCAACTTTTTCTTTTTTTTTTTTTTTTTTTTTTTTATCCCCCCCACTGTCAGTTCAGTTGCAAACAGTTGAAACATTTCCCCGAACTTTTTCAAAATTCAAAAAATGCCGAGCCAGAAGCCGTTCGCTCCTGTACGTCAGAGCTCACCAGAAGTTTTGCTCGCCCTAAAACTGCCTTTTCCAAAAATTTTACCAAAGCTTCCTCCCCACCTTTTAGCAAAAGAACAAAGCAGATAATCTCAGACTAAGGTGGCTCTTCCTTCAAGCTTGCAATCTGCGAACACCCCGTCCCACCTCAGCCAGGGATGTTTTGATTTCAAAGCTTTGAAGCTATTTTATGCCAGGAAATACGTGCAATGGATGGTCCAGAGGTCCTCCTGCGGGTCTAGTGGTAAGGCAGAGCATCACTGCACCCCTCTGAAACACCCTCCTGCCGGGGACCGCTGCCGTTCCATCACAGGGACGAGACTGGATTCATCAGTGGATAATTTATAGGATAAGGAGGAAGGAGCCGATGACAAAAGATGGGGACAAAATCCTACCGTGCAGTTTCGGGGAGCAGAGCCTGAAACTCGTGCCCCTGCCCGCACGGAGTCTCGATTGCCATCCCAGTTTGGGTTCCCAGCGTTAACTGGTTTGGTGATTTACAAGGAGCACCGATCCCACCAAAACCCACGGAGAGCAGCGGGGGGGAATAACTCTCCCGCTCGGTGAATCGGAGCAGCACGGACCACGCGGGAGCAAAAGCAGAGCAAGTGTTTCCTACCTGGCTCGTCCTCCGGCTCGTCCTCGTCCTTCTCCACTTTGCAGCCCGGGTCGCCGGGGGATGCTGAGGACTGGAGGGAGATGAAGGACGGCAGCTTTTGCAGATAGCTGGTTGGCGAGGTGCCCGCCTCTTTCCAAAACTTCACCTCTTGCTCCGCACCGGAGGGTCCGGGCGTTTCCCTATCATCGTGGAGCTGAGCTGGATCATTCCTGTAGGAGGCACGTGGGAAAAATAATACGGAAAAATAAAATTATTCCACTCGGCCACGCCAAGCATGGCATCGCATGGATGGGGTGAACCACCAGAGCTGCACATGGAGGCTCCCCGGGCTGCTCCGTATCTCCAGTTTCCCGGGATCCAGATCAGATTCAACCAGAGTTTCTCATTCCCCACTTGGATTCCCTGCCCTGCGCTTCCTTGCAAGCTCTCCGATGGCTCTTGGAGGTGCTGGGCTCCTGCTGGGGTGTCAGCTGGGCTGAGCGAGCGGTGGAGAGGGGAGACGGAGGACGTGGGGAGCAGGGATGGCTCCGAGACGCCCCACTGGGTTTGGCTCAGCCCCAGCCCCGCCGCCTCCCCCTCCCAGCCCAGCTAACGTGACACTTCAGCTCGTCCGACATCTCCGATGACGGTGCCAATAAAGGAAAAAAAAAAAAAAACAACCTCCCGAGCTGCTTCCAAGCTGGGGCGTGCTCCCTTCCCAGCGGAGGATTGCCAGGAGCTGGCCCCAGGAGGGCAGGAGGGTGCCTCCCCGCTGCCCAGCCCTGCTCTCATGCCTCCTTCCCTAAAAAGAGCAAGGAGCTATTTTACACTTCGTTCACACCGGGGACGTGAGCTGGGTGTCATTCCAAGGCTCTTCTGTCACCCGGGATAAGTTCGGCGAGCCCGCTGAGCGCTCGTCCCCCTCTGCTACCTTACAAGGCAGGGCCAGGATGAGGCCCAGGAACATGGACCAGACCAGCACAGCTCCCAGTTCCCTCCTGTTTCCATCCCGCCTTCACCCCCACATCCCGCTGCAAAGAACCGTGGAGGAGCTGAGCATCCAAGCCGGTATTTTTTCCTCCCGTTAAGCAGGACTTTTCGATTTTGGCTTTTAAAGCCAAATTTCAATTTGGTTTTCATTTTAAGTACACTGGGATTGCAGTCGTCGTGCAGGCAGGGCTCAGGGGTGAGGGCAGAGGAAGGCGAGGATGTGCCAGCCTCAAGAAAATCTGTCTCCCTGTGAGGATGAGGACTAACATGTCCATCACCAACCTGTGGCTCCATCCCGGCCCCCAAAGGCATCAGTGAGAGCTCAGAGAGCTTCCAAGGATTATCCAAGGACCCAGCCCGGCATCAAATGGTTTTACAAAGGCCTGTTGTAGCTCCGTGCCCATCCCCATCTCGGCTCCTTCAGGCAGTGAGTCCATCCCCGATGGTGAGCCCCTCCACGCCACGCTCAGCTCTGCCCTCCGCCGCGGAGGTGAGGAAAGAGGGAGGACGGTTTTCCGTTTCCCACCGAGCTAAGGATAAGCTGTGCCTGCTTTTGGCAGCGGTGTCCCCATCAGGGCTTCTCCATTTCCCGGGAGGAAGGTCTACAAAAGCTCTGGAGATACCTGGAGGTGCTGAAGCCGTCCAACGGCCCGCATCAGGCACCCAGATGTGACCTATCCTCTCTTTCCTCTCCACCAGCTCTGCCGGGAGAGCCCTCCCTTGAACACAAACCCTACTGCCCGTGGTGGTTCTATCAAGAAGGCGCCACAGTGACCCGACAACTTCAAATAAACCAGCAGACAGACAAGATACACAACCGGAGAAGGAAACATCCAGAGCAGGCTGGGAAGAAAACCGTGTAAGAGCAGCGAAGCAAGCTGCTTCTGCTTTTTCCTACCTGCCCGTCTCCTCCCAGACCCGTCTCCACTTGGAGGGGAGGTCGCCGCGGTCCCCGTCTTCTGCCTCTCTTGGGTGGCGCTTCTTCTGCGGGTGGAGCAGCTTGCACCGGGCGCCCCTGGGGCAAACGCCTTTCTTGGCAAAGTCGGGGCAAACCAGCGTGTGCTTCTTCTTGCACTGCCGGGGAAAAGGAGAGCGAGGTTGGGAAAGGCAGCGAAAGCCCTGCGGGGAGCACAAGGTTCCCAGGGCTGGGCTCCTTCAGGCGGCACAAACACGTTGCTAAAGGAAGAGAAGGGTGAGCTGGTGCTTCCTTCTCTGTACCAAAATACTAGCCCGTGCCAAAATACTGTTAAAAAAAAATATTACTCTTCTCTGGGAGATGCTGCACACTCGCCCACAGCTTCCGAGTGCCCCATTTTACGGACCCAAACCACCGAAGTCTTAACAGCAATGATCTACCCCCCCCAAGGTGATGATGCTGGGAGGTCCCAAAGAGGTTATCTGGGCTGGAGGAGCTGTTTGCGGAGAGGACGCTGGGTTTTCCTGTCCCAGACATGCTTGGGACCAGGGGAGGAGCAGGGCAGAGCAGGAATGAAGCGCCTTCCGTTTCAGTCTTATTTTGGGATTGCTGCCTGGACCACCCCGTTGCTGAAGGTGGCCAAGGGCCGGAGCTCAACGTGGTCTGCTTAGGGCTCGGGAACGAGCTTGGCCAATGCTCTCCTGCCCAGGAAAGCTTAGAGTGGCCACGGCACAGCGCTGGCAAAACGACAGCGTCGTGATGTTCACCCCTAAAAGCGTTTCTGCACTCTCAGCCCGGCGTTTCGGTGGCTGCCAGCAGCAACGCTCACGGCCGTCGGCTGTGCTGGTGGGAAGGAGGCAGGGGCAGCCGCTCCACAGCTTTGCCCAGGCAAGGCTGTCTGCTGAGAAACGGCACTTTTCGGCGGTGGGAAAGGCAGGAAGAGATGCAGACAGGACATTCAGGTGTGATTCCCGGGTGGGTGGCTGAGAACGTTGGCCGGGAGGAGGGAGAAAGAACCTCCCGTTAACAGAGAGCTCGTCCCAGTGTATCCCGAGGGATTGAGGGGGGGGAGCGGGTCCCGGAGCTCTGATCAGCCCCACAGTGTCCAGGGGAACCCGCACCCACCAAGGATGCTCTGTCCCACCCCACGTGAGGAGCCCACCTTGGCTCTTGCAGGGCGACCGGCAGCGCGCCGCGACACCCACGGCGCGGCACAACCCGACGCCCGCGGCGCAACAGAGGGTCCACAAACACCACGGTCCATTCGGCGGTTCACCTTCTCCGCGAGCCAAAACCCACCCTGCTTTTTTCCCCCGCGTGGGTTCCTTCCGCACTCGGATGCCCGTGATGCAAACTTCAGAGTAGCAAGGACGCTCAAATTTTGAGCAGGTTTGGGGGAAAACAAGACAAATCCACAGGGAGAGAAACACAGCGAGGGTTTGAGCGCCATCGCTCTCGCCGGTTTACAAAAACGCATCTTCCTGACACTGCAGGATGGAGGAGAGCTCCTGCCCTTTTAATGCAACTTGACTTTGGGGGCACGGGAGCAGCTCCCCGTGTCGACCTTTGGGATTAAGCGGCAGCCCTGCTGAGCTGTGGGAGCTCTGTCCTCGAAAAAGCAGAAGGGTTTTGGCAGCTCTGCCGCCTGGGGCCGATCGCTGAAGTCGGCAGCGGAGCAAGGAGCTCGTCTGCTGGGGGTTGGGGACGGCGTGGAGCAGCAGGAGGGCTGAGGAGCCAGGTGGACACACGGACACACTGGCTCAATGGGGGGGAGGACAGCGCAGTGACAGCGCCGCTTTTCCACTAAAAAATAATTTTAAAACCCCAGTTCTTATGACTTGCCCCCTGTATTTGAAGGAGCTTCAATGGCAAGGAAGTCTACAAGCCAATGAGCAACCTGAGAGTAGAGTCATCTCTAAACAGTGCCCAGGCTCTGCTGTTACTCCCAAATCTTATGCTTCATAGCATCCTAAAATGCCTTGGGTTCCAAACCACCTTTCAAGATCACCTAGTCCAACTCCCCTGCCATGGGCAGGGACATCTTTTACTACATCAGGTTACTCAAAGCTCCATCCAGGGTTTCCAGGGAGGGGGCAGCCACAGCTGCTCTGGGCACCCTGGGCCAGTGTCTCACCACCCTCATCATTAAGAATTTCTTCTTATGTCCAATCTAAACCTAACTTCTTTCAGTTTAGAACCTTTGCCCCTTGTCCTGTCACTACAGGACGTTTTACAAAGTCTCTCCCCACCTTCCCTGTCCCCCCTTTAAGCCCCGGGAGGCCTCTCGAAGGGCTCCCCGGAGCCTTCTCTTCCCCAGGCTGAACCCCCCCAGCTCTCTCAGCCTTTCTCCACAGCAGAGCTGCTCCAGCCCTCGGACCATTTCCGTGTCCCTCCTCTGGCCCCGCTCCAACAGGTCCGTGTCTGGCCCGTGCTGGGGACCCCCGAGCTGGCCGCGGGGCTCCGGGGGGGCTCCCCAGAGCGGAGCAGAGGGGGAGAATCCCCCCCCCTGGACCCGCCGGCCACGCTGCTCGGGGTGCAGCCCAGGAGATGGTTTGCTCTTCTCCACCCGTGGACCAGCACTGGAAAAGCATCACTAGAGACCAGAGCATCCCAGTCAGAGACCAGAGCATCCCAGTCAGAGACCAAAGCATCCCAGTCAGAGACCAGAGCATCCCAGAGACCAAAGCATCCCAGTCAGAGACCAGAGCATCCCAGTCAGAGACCAGAGCATCCCAGAGACCAAAGCATCCCAGTCAGAGACCAGAGCATCCCAGTCAGAGGCCAGAGCATCCCAGTCGTGCAGGCAAGGCCGGCTCCTGCCTGTTCCCAGCTAGTAGGAACAGTGATGCTTATTTTTTCGTATGCCATTCAAGAGCAGGTATGGGAAAACCATCTCTTCCAGCACAGCTCTGTTTAAGCAGCCATTCTCTCGCAAAGCATCTAGAAAAAAGCCACGTTTGAATCAAGCAGAGGTTTGGGACAACAGCTTTCACTTTTTTCCTACTTTTTTCCCAACTCATGCCGTTCTGGACACCTCTACCTGCAGATGGGATACGGCCCTGACCAAGAATAAAGGCTTGGAAAAAGCAGCAGCAAGACAGCTTTCAAGGACAGTAAGTTTTCTCAAAACACTAGCAAGCAGAAAAGCAAACCCCTCAACCTGATAATGCCTTTAAAAAGAAGGGAAACAAAATTAGGGGAGAGGAAAAATAAAAGGCATGGCCCGTTAGGGACCGAAGGCTGGGATGAATGTGGGGGGGGGCTGCTGGGTGATGGGGAGCTGGGGAGGTTGAACGCTGAGAGGACGCGGGGCCAGCTGAGATCATCTGCATGGACCAGACCTGCAATCCCCTCTGGTTTTATCTTATTCCCTTTTTCCTCACAGAATGGCCCAAAGCCATTCTTTATTTGGAAGGGAAGTGTGATAGACGATGATGCCTCCCTAGAAATTACACGACTTCGGTGGCGCGGGATGAGCAGAGCTGCTGAGCCTGCTTTGCCAGGGCAAGTAGATCCCCAGGGGAGCACGAGCAAAGCCTCAGGATTTCAGATTTCATGTTTCACACAATATCAGGCAGCAAAACAAGGAGGGACGGGCTTTTGGGTTGTGTGACCACCTTACTGACCGGCGTCAATACAAAATAATTCCCGTATTGTCCTTATAGCTGGGGCCAGCTCTGGTTCAGTGGCGCTGATCTCACGTGAGGGCAAGTTGGCCTGATGGTACGTCAGATCTACTGCACGCTGGAAGGTTTCTAGTCTGCCACCACCTCCAGCTCTCCATCCTTGCGACGCCGGTGACACCCGGAAAACCTCCTATTAATTACGAACACTCCTGATGTCGATCGTTGCTATTTATCTCCAGGTCGGCAGCTCTTCAGAGCTTCTACCCAAGCATGTGAGATCTGCTCCTGTATAGTGGTCTCCAGCACAAACCGGGCTTGGAAAGGAAAAGAACAGGCAAAAAAGAGCCCTTGCTTCAAAAAGCCACGTGGATGCATCAACCCTGCAGCCGGCGGTGATGCTGCTACGCCAAGGAAGGCTGTTGTTTTGGGGAAAACGTGAGAAACGTGGCTGTTTCTTCCCAGAGGGGCACCCGAGGGACCGGTTACAAATCCCCGAGGTGGGGGACGGCGTCGTGGTCCCGGCTGGGTTCTGGGATCGGGATGGGCCACCTCCCCCAGTGCTCTCACTGGCACCGACCTCCAAGTCACGTCATCGTACCAGACCACGTTTATTGGCTCCACGGCAAAAAGATACTTAAGAAAGAAAACAAACCATGTGTGACTAATCCCAGGGCCGTGTCCCCAGCTCAGGTTTCTAATGGCTTTTCCATGTCGCTCCCAGCGCTCAGCCCTTCTTCCGTAACGCCCCGTCCATCGCCGCTGGTTCAGGGTTGGGATGGGGAGACTGGGATTGCCACCCCCGCCGGGCTCGGTGGCTGGAAAAGCCCTTTCTGTTTATTTACAGCACCTCCACCGCTCTTGCCCTGCATGCCAGGGCAGACACGCTGGGGCTGGGTTGCTCTAAGGTGGTTTGCTGCTCGCCGCGTGTCAACCGGGGTGAAGCCGAGCGGGGCGGCAGGCACGACCTCGCGCTGGGGGCCATCCGATCCCTTCCACCTGTCAGGGTGGCTAATTATACCCCCCCCTCCCCGCGGGACCCCCGCCAGCCCGCAGGTTGGAGCAGAAAAAGAGAAAAAAAAGCTGCTGGCCCCTTCCAACAGAAAAGCCACAGCATCTCTTCAAAAGCCCTGGGGAGAAACCCTCCGGGTCCAGCGGGTGCTGATGGGGACGCCAGCATCCCGCCGATGCTGTCGCCACCCCGGGCTCCCCGCTCCGGGGTTTCCCCCCGCAGCCCAGACTGGCAGCAGTGCCCCGTGCTGGGACGGTGCCCGGCTGGCAGCCCCCCATGGCCGGGACTCCTCCCTGGCTGCCAAGGCAGCTCCGGGTGAAATTCAAGGTGCCTTAAGTGGCCTAACGGATCCCGACGTGCACGGGGAGCGGGACGGGGGCGAGGGGTTTTGTAGCGTAGGGCGCAGCCTTCTTTAGCACAGACCTGGCAAAGAAGGAAGAAGCAACTGGTGAAAGGTCCCGGCTCGTCCCCAGGAATGACATTAACTAACATTTTCCATGAAGGAGTTTGGCAGGAGGTGGTG